AAAAAAAAAAAAAAAAAAAAAAAAGCTTAAAGATGCTACAAAAGGTTGTTAGGAAGCCATACAACCCATGCAAAAGACTCAAGGAAGGTTTAGAAGAAAAGGATTCAAAGTTAAAAATCAGAACAAAAAAGACAAGTAGAGAGTAATTAAGGAGAGGAGGGCCAAAGGTCAAGAAATGAAGCTGAAGAGTAGAAAGGCCAAAGACAAGTTTGGTTTTTAATACCAAACTGAGGAATTTAAATTTTTATCCTAAGGGCAATGAGACACTATTAAAGGATATTCAGCATTCCATGATGAGTTTGTGTATTTTAGAAAGATTTCCGGGTTATAAAATGAAGAATGGATTAGAGCAGGACAAAACAAGAAATCAATTAAGAAGCTATTGTAGTAACCCAGTGAGAGGTGGTAGTGGCTAAACCAAGGTCTGGCAACAAAGGCAGAAGGAAATAAAAGAACCTCTCACTTTTGAGGAGGAAGGGACAATACAACCTAATAAATTCATTGAACAAAGGAACTTGAAGGAGTAAAGGATACCTGACTAGACAAGGACGTCATTACGGAGTTACAGAACAAGAGAAACAGACTATGAAGCAAAAAGGAATGCAGATTCAGTGTCTGTGGGACATATCCAGGTTGGGAATGTTTGGAAGGCAGTTGAAAGTAACCTGAAGCTGAGAAGAGACACTGGTAATAGAGAAATAAATTTAGGAATCAATACTAATACAGATGATAACAATAACACCTAAGTTTCATCAAGTTCTCATTATGTGCCAGGCAGGCTCTGTATCAAGCACCTTTCATACTTAATTAATGCTCTCAAGCACCATGCCATTCCACCTCCAAACAAACCTAACAGCCACAATTTATTGAGCTATTACTAAATTCGGAAGTTGTGAAATACAGTTTTTTTGTTACTCTTCACAACAGCCCTGAATTAGATGATGCACCTTCAACACACATCCAACACACACAACATTGTTTTAATGCAGAATCATACCACATACATCATCCTTATTTTTCCATGTAAAAGCCCAAAAGAACTCCTATGGTCACAATTAGAAAATCATCTTGCCCAAGAATGAGAAGAGAAAGAAGCCCCTGATTACTCTTATTTCAACTGAGTGAACACCAAATAAAAATCTACCCACTCTTCTCCCGACTTTGCCAAGGCCTTCAGTGAAAGCAAATTATTTACAAAAATAAATTTATAAAGGTACAGCATCTGCTGATGATAATCTGTGGAGAAAAGTAAGAAGCAAACCTACTGCATTCATGAAATCATCATTCTTGAAGAGTATTCTCAGCAAGTGGCCCAGCATACATTCTGGATCAGCTCGACCTACCAAAAGAAGAGGGGAGGAACAAAGGAATGAGTAAGTCATCCCAGTTAAGTAACTTAGATCTCTGGAATGGCACCTGAGTTATTATAAGTACTAATAAAATGCTGAAAAAGTGAAGAAACACAAGATTCCTATTCTGAATTAGATTTCATAAGAAATATTCTATAAATTTAAAAGTGACAATATACAAAAACTTGAGACACTGCTCTAATCTTCCCATTTCCCAGTATACTGCCTACATGACAACACTGAAATAAAAATTGAATAATGGATCCATACCAGTATCACCAAGGATATTTAAGATTTACAAAAGAATCTTAAAGGTGCCTGAGAGAAAAAAAAAAAAACATGACTCCACAGCCACAGAAAGGTAGGAAGCATATTTCTTTTGAGGGAAGACAGGCTCCAAATTAATCTCTCCTTCAATTATTATAATAACAGCAGCAGCAATACATCCTCAAACCTGTTAAGAACACCCAAAGTAGGAGTAAAGGAAGTGAATCCTACTAAGTAATCATCAACCCTAAAGAGAAAGTAACCTTGACCATCTTAACCTGTTAGGGAAAGAAAGGTGGCAAAGAGACCAGGTGTTGCTACTCAATGCACAGGCTTAAAGTAAATGAATGATCGAATGACTGAAAGAATTACTGGTTAATTTTGAAAACAGATACCTTCTATTTCATTTCCTTTCGGAGCACACAAATTTACAAAAGAATACATATAAAATGAAGAAAAGATGTGAGCTGCTGATATTGTGTTTTGTTTTGGGGTTTTGTTTAATTTGATTCAGTTTGGTTTGGTACTGGGGAATGAACCCAGAGATGTTCTACCACTAAGCTACATCCCCAGTCCTTCTGATTTTTTGAGACAGGACATTGCTGAATTGCTAAGCTAGCCAGGAACTTACAATCCTCCTGCCTCAGCCTCCAGAGTTGCTGGAATTATGGTGTGCTGCAGCCTGGTATGAAGTTTTGACTAACCTATAATCACTATCTCAAAGTAATTCACAGTTACAAGAATGGAATCATAGGGCTGGGGGTTGTGGCTCAATGGTAGAGCGCTTGCTTAGCATGTCAGAGACATATTAGGCACTGGATTTGATCCTCAGCACCACACAAATAAATGAAATAAAGGTACTCTACACACATCTTCAACTAAAACAAATTTTTTTTAAATAATGAAATCATAAAAACAAATGAGGACTTTACCTAATTTTCACTGTTTATAAAGTTGTGAAACCAAAATCCTTATTTTTATTTTTTTAAAAATTATGCCAATGTCAAATATTGTTTAACATTGAGGTAGAGAGAAAAACTTGAATCTTTTACTTTTCTCTCCTTTCTTCCTCATTACTACTTCTTCCTTCCCAAAATAATGACATTATGCATGATCATCTCTTTCTTTTGATAATCCCATGTATTAACTTAATTTCTGATTTCACATTCACATTGGTATTTCCTTCATGCTCTATTGCCTTACTGAAGATGTGGGTTAACTGAATATTCCAGAACTGTGCAGGAAAGTCTAGGACAAAAGTAGCATATAACATCACATAAACAAATACTCAATTTGAAATGCCTAGATTACTAACATTCAGATGGAAACACAATATTCTTATTTTTATGGCTCCTATTTATTTATGCTCTCTGTCTATACACAAAATTTCAGACCCTCTCCACAAAGGACTACTTCTAACTAGAGTATATATGCAGTTTGAGACCATTCATGACTTAAGCTTTGCCCACTCGTAATCTATCTTTGAAAAAAAGTAAAATGGCAAAAATCTCAAGTCCCATATAATCTTGTATTTTAGCAAACTCCATGCCAAAGCAGGCTTGTTTCAGCATGATTCTAAATTAGCCTCCACCAAAAATAAATAAATGGTTTGATACAAGAGGCATACTGTAGCTTTCAAGTCTTACTAAAGCAGACATCGAGATGTTTACTTATGGTGCTGGGGCATTTAGCTCAGTAACGGAGCACTTGCCTAGCATATCTACTGCCCTAGATTCAATCTCCAACACCACCAGAAAAAGAAAAAAAAAAAAAAAAAAGAGCAAGAGAGACACAGACATAATAGACTGCTGTTTATTCGGTTCCAAATACTAACATTCTAACTAAAAGCAAAGCATGAATACATTTTCAACTGTTATTTCCCTACAAGTATGATAATTATCATTAGGAAGATGACGACATAGAGTAAAATCCCTTTCTGGTTTAATAAATAAATAAATAAATCGGGAGCTGGGGGGTTATGGCTCAGTAGTAGAGTGCTTGCCTAGCATGTGTGAAGCACTAGTTCGATCCTCAGCAACATAAAAATAAATTTTAAAAAAAAATTGTGTCCATCTACAACTACAAAAAAAAAAACTTTAAATAAGTAAATCAGAAGGGGAAATCTTTTTCTCAAGTCTTTGTAAGTACACCAACTGAGTTAACTAAGGTATACCTAATTTAGCTCCCTTAAGTTAATTATATTCTATTTGACCTATAAATATCACAAATATTTCCATTTTCCAAGTATTTACTTTTCCTCATTGCCCTCACCTTGAGAAATATTGTAATAAATAAAAGGTCTTAAAACTTACCACAGAAAATGCTATTTGTTTTTTTTTTAATATTTTATTTTTTTAGTTATAGCTGGACACAATACCTTTGTTTGTTTAGTTTTATGTGGTGTTGAGGATCAAATCCAGGGCCTCATTCGTGCTAGACAAGCACTCTACTGCTGAGCCACAACCCCAACCCCAAGAAAATGCTATTTCAATTGAAAAATATTATTAATAATTTTCTTTTGTATGGAAAAAAGACCCAAGTTTAAGAAAACATCTTACCAGGATGTCGATCATCAAATGGGTCTGGATCTCCCTTACGATATTCTTCAGTTTCTTTTTCAATCAATTCAGACATCCTAGCACAAAGGGAAGAAAGGATCAACTCTAAACACACAATAAAATGTACCACCACTTACAACAATTCAATAATTGAGGTATAAAAGCAAAAAGAAAAACAGTATTTTTCTGATGAGCACATAAATCTAAACAATCATCTCATAAAACATTTCCCACTCCCATATTAATTCTTCCCTAAACACTCCCTACCTCAACAAAAAGAGAAAAAAAAAAAAAGAGAGAAAAGCACTGTCATCACCTTGGAATCCAAAAACCTATGCGTCATCATTAAAATCTTCCTGTTCTCCTCACCCTCCATAATAATTCCCATTAGCTCTACCTACAAGATACCTCCTACTCCAATCAGTTCTCTAAATTTTGACCTCTCCTATCCTTATCCAGACCACCATCACTAACTATGCTTCCAACAATCCTTTTTACTGATCTTGCTTCCTAATTTCATGCTTGACCTGACACAATTCATTCTTTAACTTACAATGACTTACACAATACCTTGAATTAAGCCTCAAATCCTACCTTGGCCTACAATTTTTACCTGGCTTCTGCTGCTTCCTGATCACTCCTCCAATTCTCTACATCTCTTTCACTGTTTCAGTCACATGACTTTCTGTGCTCTTCAAAAAGTCTAAATTCATTCCTACTTCAGAACCATTCTGTATGCTGCTACCCTTCACCTATAAAGTGCTTCCCCCCACCTAAGCCTCCACTCCGCCAAGTAACTATTCATGATTTCATTCACTCCAGATTAGTTGGGTTTTTTGTTGTTTTTAAAAATACTGTTTCCTGCATAGTTTGTCTCTTCAGTCATAGTCCACAAGACTCTTGAGAAGTTGTAGAAATATGCAGGCACAGTCACAAAGGCCAGCTACATCTTCAAGGGACTGTACATCATGGGGCAGAGTGCTATGCTCCCCTATGCCACCTGGACAGAGCCCAGGGAGACTCACCCTCTTAAGTATCCCTGCTGGACAGTTCTAGGATTCGCATAAATGGAATCACATATCCTCTTATTATATGTGGCTTCTTTCACTAGCATGTTTTAAAAGTCATCCATATTGTTAGACATATCAAATTCCTTTTTATTTTGGTACTGGAGATTGAATCCAGGGGCACTTTGTGCTTTACCACTGAGCTGCATCCCTACTAGCCCTTTTTACTTTGAGACAGGGTCTCACTAAGTTGCTGAGGCTGGCCTCTAACTTATAATCTTCCTGCCTTAGCCTCCTGAGTCAATGGGATTACAGCCCCCACCCCCGCCCCCTCGGCCCCCACCCCCCGCATTTAGCTCAAATTCCTTTTCATTCATGCACTGTTAAAAACAAGAAAATTATTTTAGTACCCCTAAGCAAGACTTTGTTTGGGGGATAGGGGGTGGGCACCAGAGACTGAATGCAACTCAAGGGTACTCGATAACTGAGCCATATCCCCAGCCCTATTTTTGTATTTATTTAGAGACAGGGTCTCATTGAGTTACTTACCACCTCACTTTTTTGCTGAGGCTAGCTTTGAGATCCTCCTGCCTCAGCCTCCCAAGCTACTGGAATGATGGGCATGTGCCACCACACCCAGCTCCTAAGCAAGACTTTTTAACCTTTTACAATGACAATGAAATACAAGGTTATCCACCCTCAACATCTAACATGTTCTGCCCTAAGTCATACTTTCCTACATGCTTTATTTCCACAAAATCCAACTTCTTAGTCTTAAAGATTAAGTTCTCTGTAAAAATTTTTGGCCCACTCTAATCAAGCCTCAAAAGTATTTCTGCTTTTTTCCCCTTTTCCGCTTAACTCTTCATAGTCTCTTTACTACAAAGGAACGTAACATAAATTAGAATTAGAATTACGTGTTATAAGATCTACCAGTATTCTCACCAGGCATGATAGCGTATGCCTATAATCTCAGGGGCTCAGGAGGCTGAGGCAGGGGAATCACAAGTTCAAAGCCAGCCTCAGCAACAGTGAGTGCTAAGAAACTCAATGAGACCCTGTCTCTAAATAAAATACAAAATAGGGCTGTGATGTCATTCCGTAGTTGAGTGCCCCTGAGTTCAATTCCCAGTATCCCTCCCCCAAAAAAAGATCTACCAGTATTCTCAACTGAAACCAAGCAACGTAGCACAAAATTTAAAAATGGGGATTCTAGCCAGTAATGGTAGCCTGCAACTCTAATACCAGACATTCAGGATGCTAAAGCAGGAGGATTTCAAGTTTGAGGCTACCAACAGCCATTTACTCAGATCCTATCTCAAAAAAATAAAAAGGTGGCATACACCTGTAATTCTAGTGTCTCAGGAGGCTGAGGCAGAATGATCAAAGTTTGAGGCCAGCCTCAGCAACACAGCAAGACCCTAAGTAACTTAGCAAGTTTCTGTTTCAAAATTTATAATAAATAAATAAAAGGGGCCTGGCATGTGGCACACGCCTGTAATCCTAGCAGCTTGGGAAGCTGAGGCAGGAGGATCACGAGTTCAAAGCCAACCTCAGCAACAGCAAGGCACTAAGCAACTTACTGAGACCCTATCTCATAAATAAAATACAAAATAGGGCTGGGGATGTGGCTCAGTGGTCAACTGCCCCTGAGTTCAATCCCCACGACTAAATAAATAAATAAACAGGGCTGGGGATATGGCTCAGTGGTTAAGCACCCCTGAGTTCAATTCCCTGTACCAAAAATAAATAAATAAATAGAGCTAAGCCAGCTGTAGTGTATATTCAGCTCCTGAATTTCTAGGATTATAGTGAATCTCTATAATCCCAGAGATTCAGGAGGCTGAGGCAAGAAGATTGCTAGTTCAAGGCTGGTCTCGGCAATTTATCAAGACCCTGTCTCAAAAATTGAAAAAGAGGCCTGGGGATGTAGCCAGTGGTAAAGTGGCCCTGGGGATGTAGCCAGTGGTAAATCCCCAGTACCAAAAAAATAAAATATAAAAAGGCACCAGGAATACAATTCAGAGGTAAAGCCCATTACGTTCAATCTCCAGTATAGAATCAGGGGTAGCAAGACTTCTGCAGCCAGACTGTCAGGGTTCAAATCAGAGCTCTTGCATTAGCTGTGTATAACTACAACTTACTTAACCTTTCTGTGCCTCATGTGTAAAATTAAAATAAGAATTATTATTTTAGGGCTGAGGGTATGGCTCAGTGGCAGAGAGCTTGTCTAGGACAAGTGAGGCTCTGGGTTCAATCTTCAGCACCACATAAAAATAGATAAAACAAAGGTATCATGTCCATCTACAACTAAAAAATATTTTTAAAAAAAGAATTATTATTTTATAGCGTTTCTGTAAGGTTTAAGTTAATTAGAATGAAGCCTAACACATGAGAACTATTTTTTTTTGTAAATTATGAAAACTAGAAATTCAAAACAAATAAGACAATTAGTTTAGGATGGACTATTAATTGGAATAGAACAAGAAGAAGTGCTCCATAGTGGTACTCAAGGTTTTATAACTTGATGAGGGTGATGATTTTGAGGCAAAAGAACCCATTTTGGATGCTTGAGCAAAGTATAGTATACAAATGACACCTCAAAAAAATTTTTTTAATTTAGATTAAGTTTATACAGCTTAATTGAAAGCTCAAAGCCAGTCCCTTTAAATATAATCAAGAAAAAGGGCTAATAAAAGATCAATTAAAGTTATAAACTGGACTACAGATGTAACTTAATGGTAGAATACTAGCTACCCAGTTTGCACAAGGTCCTGAGTTCATCCCTAGCACAACATTAAAAGAAAGAAAAATTTAGTTATCAATGATATTTTTAGTGACAAATAAGATGAGGTTCAGTATCTCTAATAGCTGACACACAAAAGATCCTCAAATATTTGAATAAATGACCTGATTTAACTTTTTTCTATTATTATAACCACCACAATGTTTATAAAACACACTGCCTTTTTTAATACTTCATTATATGCTATTTTTTACTACTCTGCATTAGTTCGTATCTGTTAGGCTTAAGCTACTTTCCAGATGGTTATTTCCTTGAGAGCCCTCTACTTTAAGATTTGCATTGCTGAAGAGCACAGTAAAAATGATCAAATATGTTAATGAATGTGAAATAACCTTGAAAATAAAAGATTACATTGATGGGGTGTTTTTTTGTTTTTGTTTTCTTAACAGTACTGGAAAATGAATCAAGGGGCTCTCTACCACCAAACCCATCCCTAATCCTTTTTTTTTTTCCCAACACATGAAATTTTTTTTTATTAGTTGCGCATGACAATACAATGATCTTGACATATCATACATTTGATTCAAATGGGGTATAAATTCTCATTTTTCCATGTGTACAGGTTACAGGATCACATTGGTTATACGGCCACGTATATACATACGGCAATACTACTATCTATTTATTTTGATACAGGGTCTCACTAAACTGCCCAGACTGGCCTCTAACTCAAAATCCACCTGCCTTAGTCTGCCAAATTTTGGAATTACAGGTATGCACCACTACAACCAGCAACATTAAGTATTTTTAATATAAGTATTCAATAAATATTTCATGAGCCCAAAGCTAATCTTATCATATCCACTAATAACTCACTCCCATTTCACAGTAACATCAATAATACAAATTAAGCCAGGTGTGGTGGCGCACACCTGTAATCCCAGCCAGCACTCAAAAGGCTGAGGCCAGAGGATCACAAGTTCAAAGTCAGCTTCAGCAATTTAGCAAGGTTCTAAGCAACTCAGCAAGACCCTCTTCTCTAAATAAAAAATATTAAAAAGGGGGCTGGGATTGGCTCAGTAGTTAAGCACTTCTGGGTTCAACCCCCAATACCAAAAATATTAATAATATAATACATGTTAACTGTACAATATTTAGATTCTCAAATTTGCTGTAGCTGCATTTCAAATATCTTCTCCAGCAACTTGGGAGGCTGAGGCAGGAGGATCACAAGTTCAAGGACAGCCTCAGCAACTTAACAAGGCTCTATCTCAAAATAAAAAGGCAAGGCTCTATCTCAAAATAAAAAGGCAAGGCTCTATCTCAAAATAAAAAGGTCCAGGGATGTAACTCAGTCATAAGTGCCCCTGGGTTAAATCCCCAGTACCAAAAACAAACAAATATTTTATTTAAGTCTTAGTGTTTCTTCTTAACAGTTCTTAGACTTCAATGCTTCTATAAATTAAAATCTAGTTTCCTATCAACAATAATCTTAATCTCTTAAAAAAAAAAACTGTACTTCCACATATTCCCCATGTATTCAGAGCAGTTGGAAACAAAGCATTTACCCATTTCCAAACTTGCATAAGATTATAGTTCTTCTCTTCATAAATATCACCACAGAAAGGAATTTTTTCACAGCATGGCATCAAGGATTAAATGTTAAAGATACCTATATTCCTGTGATATTCTCCTTAGAAACGTATAAACATTCCTCCCCAATATTTTTCACTTTTTCCCTCCTTAAGATAATGCAGAACTGTATGCCTATAATCCCAGCTACTCAGGAGGCTAAGGCAGGAAGATGGTAAATTCAAGGCCAGCCTCAGCAATTTAGGAAGACTGTCATCTCAAAATAAACAAGGATCAGAGATGTACTTCAGAGGTAAAGCACCCAGGGGTTCAATCCCTGGAACCAGAAAAAATAAATAAATAAATAATGGAATAACATTATGTACCACATAGTTATTGTGTACCAGGTTGTAGGCAAATCATTGAGAAAACACCAATAAAAAGACAGTTCAGCTGGGGCTTAGTGGTGCACAATAATCCCAGCAACTCAGGAGGTTCAGACAGGAGGATCACCAAGTTCAAGGCCAGCCAGGGCAATTTAGCAAGACCCCGACTCAAAATAAAAAATAAAAAGGTCTGGGGATGTGGTTCAGTGGTAGAGCACCCCTGGCTTCAATCCACAATACCACCAAAAAAAAAAAAAAATTCAGGGACTTCTGGGGTTATAGCTCAATGGTAGAATGAATGAACAACTGCCTAGCATGCACAAGGCCCTGAGTTCAACACCCAGCACCACCAAAAAAAAAAAAAAAAAACATAATTCCTACTTTTAAGAAGCTTGAAACTTAGTAAAAAGACATGTTTAAAAAAATACAGTGCAAGGGGAGAAGGGGAATAGCATGGATGATGGAAGGAGACCTGCATCATTATACAAAATACATGTATGAAGATGTGAATTTGGTGTCAATATACCTTATATACAACCAGAGATATGATAAATTGTGGTATAAAGGTGTATTAAGAATTGTAATGCAAATAACAATAATAATAAAGCTCATGTATAATGGCATAATTTGCCGTGAACATACTTTAATATAGAGTTACGAAAAAGGGTATTGTGAGTGGATAATTATGATAATGCATTCCACTATTGTCATGTATGTAAGAAATAAAATAAATAAATATAAATATATATATATATATATATATATAGTGTAGAGCTAGGGCAGGGGCTCAATGGTACAGCACTGGCCTAGCATGTGGGAGGCACTGGGTTCAATCCTCAGCACCACATAAAAATAAAGTAAAAAAATATAGATAGATAGTAGATAGATAGAAAGTACAGTGTGGTAAGTGTTATAATGGGGGAAAACTGTGATGTATATAAATGATAGTAATTTTTTAAAAATAATATTATTTTTTTAAAAAATAATAAATAAAGGGGGTGATCAAACCCACCTATGAAGTCAAAGCTAGGGAAGCTTTTACAGATATGATTTGTTAACCATTCATTCAAAGGACTGGAGCTTGTGAAACAGACATGACAAGGAAAGGTATTTCAGGCCAAGGAAATAGCAAGTGTGAAGGCATACAGAGATTAGAAAACATAGCACTACTCCTTAACAGAAGACCAATGCTATGAGGCAGAAAAAGGAGGTCTAAAGAATTCACCTCTTATTCTGCAGGAACAAAGCAATCATGGAAGAATTAAGAGAAGAGACATTACAATCAGATTTCTATATGAAAAAGATGAGTTTTCCAGCAAGAGGGAGGGATCTATTAGAAAAGGATAAACTAAAAAGACATACTGTCTAATGAGTCAATCAAGACATGGTCAATTCCTAATAAAGTAGTAGTGGCTGTGGAAAAGGAATGAAAAGGAAGAAGCAGAAATTCCCAGGGCTTTGTGACTGAGACTGTGTTGGTAAAGGAATACATTAGAGATGATGGCTCTTGGGATTTTAGTTTATAACCATTTAGTTTAAAACCAAGGTGGGCAGAACAAAAGGACTAAGATGTGGATAAAGGAATTACAGATGAAGGTGATAAGCTGTTTTGGACATGGTATGTTTTAGATGTCTGTGGAACAGCCAGGTTAATATTTCTTTTTTTTAATATTTATTTTTTAGTTGTAGTTGAACATAATATATTTTATTTATTTATTTTTATGTGGTGCTGAGGATCAAACCCTGGCCGCGCACATACTAGGCTAGTGCTCTACCGCTAAGCCACAACCTCAGCCCAAGGTTAATATTTCTAACCAAGGATATAAGTGCAATCTAACTGTGACATGTCACCCCAATGACCACGAGGGCTGACTTGGCTTATCTGGCTAGCAAGGTAGGTGTGCCTAGATGCACTCGCTACTCTGTGTGCATCTCTCCATAAACTGCACATTTGGTCAAAGAGGATAACATTTCCCAAAAGAGGAAAATCTTTCTTTAGTCAAGGATATACAAAAGTAGCTGTACTCCCCTGCTAAAACCTCCCCTGCTAAAACCTCCCCTGCTAAAACCTCCCCAAAAGCTCTCAAGATATATACACCAAGAAACTTTAAAAATTACCTAAAACTAAAAAGAAAATAAAGAAGTAGAAATAGAAACCTAAAAGTCAACACAGAATAACGGCTGAAATAATGGACAGGGATCAAAGTAGGTAAGAATGGTTAAAAAGGGAGAAGAGAGCCACAAACAAACCTGCAAAGAAGAATGCGGACAGGGCCCTGAAATGAAAGATAAGAAATTCAGAAGCAAAGAGAAGCCAGGCATGGTGACACATGCCTATAATACCAGCAACTTGAGAAGCTGAGGCAGGAGTGTCACAAGTTTGAGGCCAACCTAGGCAGTTAGCAAGACCCTCAGCAACTTAAGACTCTGTCTCAAAAATTTTTTTAAAAAGTCTGGATATGTAGCTCAGAGCCCCCCCCCTAAATTCAATCTCCAGTACCAAAATAAATAATAAAAAGAAAAAAAATGGAATTAAAACTCACTCAAGGTAAAATTATTCCTATACTTTTCTCTATATTAATTTTTCCTTTTTCTTATAGTGTAGGTTTTTTGTGTGTAAGAAAAAAAAACTAGCATAAGAGTCATGTATGAAAAACCACCTTAATTATTCATACCTGGTAAGGATAGGTACCATGTCCTGCCCACTGCCATGTTCCTTTTCCCACTGCTCCAGCAGGGTAGTGAGCTCGGCTTTTGAGTCCACATGTACCGCTACTGTAGTCATGACTTGGCCTAAGGAAGCCAAAACAACAACAGCAACAACAACAATAAATGAGCACAGGCAAATAAACCAGACATACTTCCCACAAAAGGAAAAGTGAAGGGAAAGGGTAGAAAATGGATGAGCAAGCAAGGGAAATAATTAAAAAGCAAAGGAAATTTAACACATGGACCCTTTCAGATAATTATATGTGGTACAGTGGGATACCCTGAATCCACATTCACCTCCTTCAACCTCAGTTTCCTCGCCTGTCAAATCAAGCAAGAAGCTTGATCAAAATGGTGATTCTTAATCTTTCTAAAAACCCATTTGAGAATCAATCAAAAGCTACGGTCTCTTCCTCTCTTGAAAAGTACATGTATAGAGACTATGAATGTAGCTCAGTGGTAGAGTGTTTGCCTACTATGCACCTGGCCCTGGGTTCAAAACCCGGCACCAAAAAAATAATTATATATATAAATACACACACACACACACACACACACACACACACACACACACACACAAAAAACACACACACACATAAAACATACACATACACAGCCATGCAGTAATCCCAGGCCTAGATCACTGAGGTCCAAATCTTTTGCTCTTGTTAGTCTTCTGGGGGGAAGCTCTATAAAACAGTCCTTGTTAATTCTAAAAAGGCCAAGAAGTGGCAATGATCCACTGATCTACTTTATCACCAACACAAAAGTTGGAAAAGAATGCTGTAAATCCATTTGTCCAAAACTGGATAGGGTTGCTCAGATCTGTAGCCCCAGATATACAGAAGACTAAGGCAGTCTGAGCAACATTAATATGACCTCATATTAAAAACTAAATATGGTGGGTGCAGTGGTACACACCTGTAATCCCAGTGACTCGGAGGCTGATGTAGGAAGATCACAAATTCTAAGCCAGCCTGGGCAACTTAGCTAGACCTTGCCTCAAAATAAAACAAAAAAGGTAGGGGATATAGCTCAATGGTAAAATGTCCCTGGGTTCAATCACCAGTACCACAACTAAAAATAAAATAAATGAGCCTATTTGTCCTTCTGTCTCCTAACCTCCCTTACATCTGATTTCCTGGAAGGAGAAAAAGAGACTGGAAGATAGGTAGAAGTTACTGGACTGAGTGATAAGCCAAAGAATGATGAAGGACAGGGACCTGAATGGGTTTAGGAGGAGTCAAATAAGACACCAAATGGCAAAGGTTTAAAAGGAGTTCGTTCCAAAGGGGATAAATGAGACCCAAAATGTTTAGATGGTTCATGGAATCAATTTCTTTGCCAAAGCAGCCTTCCGGATCAAAACATCAGATCCTGCCATGGAAAGTATATATTTTTACCAATCATTCTATAAAAGAAGTTTCACACCAGAACAGGATTACTTACTGATCCAAGGTTGTTAACTCTTCTAAAGATATCTACCATAAGACCAAAAGAAACACGTAAAAGAAAATACCACCAATTCTCCAAAGTACAAATATTTATTTTAGAGGCAATTCCAATAGCCAGTAGGGATTCATGTCACATGAGCTACCCATTAACTCCAAAGAAAAATATACTAGCAGACTAAATACAGAACAAACTAAGAACAAAAAAGAACTTCAACCATATGGTAGGGAACATTATAAAATATTAAGATTACACACAATGAGGGCTGGGGATATAGTTCTGCTGGTAGAGTACTTGCCTAGCGGGCACAAGACCCTGGATTCAATCCTGAGCACCACCAAAAAAAAGATTACACACAATGACCAACCAGGATTACTCCCAGATTACAAGAGTGGTTCAACATATGAAAACTGATCAATATCATCACCACAATAACAAAATGAAGGTGGAAAAAAATTATCATCTCACTAATGCACAAAAAAATATCTGACCCTTTTGTGATAATAATAATAATCCAGCCTGGCAACTTAATGAGACTCTATCTCAAAAATAAAATTTTTTTAAAAGGGGGGGCTAGAGATACAGCTCAGTGGTAGAAGGCCTTTGGGTTTAATTTCCAATACCACCAAAAAAAAAAAAAAAATTCTGGGTACTCAGGAGATTGAGGCAGGAGGATCTCAAGTTCAAGGTCAACTAGACCTTGTCTCAATGTGAAGAAAAAAAAAAAAAGGCTGGGCTTTAGTTCAGTGGTAGAGAGCCCCTGGGTTCAATCCTCAGTACACACACACACACAGTTATACTCGTGCATGTGCACACACATGTGGCA